CTTAACGTACGGCAGTTGTGCTATATCCTAGGGGAGGGCATAATTATTAATTAATAGACATTATAGGCCAGAGGAAACTTTGTGCCCCTTCACACCTGCACCCGGGGGCGTCTGCCACCCTCTTGCTACGCCACTGTAAACATCAGCACAAAAAATAATGAAAACTAGTACAACTAATTTCATACTAAAACAAATTCAAATCATAATACACAAATATATTTAAATTAAGCTATGCTGATTTTTAAAAAAATGTCGTATTTTAGTACATGATGGCCATTTAAGTTTGTTTAATACATTATTTTACGTACTTAAGTACTTTCAAATCTTTGAAACATTATTAAGCTCCAAATACAATGGACTTACAGTTCCATTACAGGATATCTAGCTAATGATGCAAAGCTATGTTTCTGATAAAAATGGTGAACACAATACTCCAAATGTGCCCTAACCAGTGACCTGTACAATGAAATTATAACCTCTTTAGACTTGTATTCAATATTTCTGTAGATACAATCTAAAATCCTATTTTCCCTACCACTAGCAACAGCACACTGCTTGGATGACTTAAGAGAGTTATCAACCATTACACCAAGATGTTTTTCTTTCAGGACACTGTTAAGGTTATTCCCATACAAATTATACTTATAAATCAAATTATGATAACTTACATGGATTATCTTGCATTCATTATAATTAAAAACTCATCTACCATTTATAAAGCAGCAGCATCCTCTTCACAGCTAACAACACCCTTAATATCAGACCTTAATATTATCTGCAAATTTAAGTAATTTGTTGACCATTCCTTCATCTATGTCATTGATGTAAATCAAAAAGAGCAAAGGCCTTAAGACCTAGCTCTGAGGTACCCCATGACATATAGATGAGACCCCATTTAATAGTATCATTTAAAAAAAAGGGGGGGAAATTGTGGCATAGTGGTAGACAAGTTACTCAAACCATTGAGAAACTACTGTATTGATAGTAGTAAAGTTAATACACATATTGATAGCAACTCAAAACAGGTAATTATTTCATATATATATATATATATTACTGTTAGGCCTCAATTGGAGTATTGTGTTCAGTTTTGTTCTCTTTCTCTGAGAAGAAATATTGAGTTATTGGAGAGGGTTTAGAGAAAGGCAACTAGGGTGGCTGGGGATGGAAGAGTCATTTTATGGGGATAGATTAAGTGTTATTAACTTATACTTACTTTCTCCTGAGAAAAGAAGGGTAGAGGTGATCTGTTGAAGTTTACAAGATTATCTGGAGATCAAAAGGATAAAGGTCTCTGGTTTCTTTGTGCTTTATTCAAAATACACAAGATTTGGAAAAGATAGGTTAGGCTCCAATTATTACAGTTTTATTTTCTAACAGTGTGATTAGTTTATAGAGTGAGTTGCCATAGACAGCAGTAGAGGTTGGCACCTTATGTGGCTTTTAGAGGGGACTCCATAAATTTCAGAAAAATAAAAGATTAGTTTAAAAATTTTATTTTTGCCTTACTTCATCAGTGGATGTGCAAGAACATCCTTGAAGGACCAGATTGTCCCTTTTTGTATCTACGTTGTTTATTTTGTGTAAATAAACTTGCATCATACTTTCACATACTTTTAAGTTTTTTACTTGCATTATTTCTGTATGTATTTCAAAACTGTATTGACCCAACTTTTAAGACAGTTGTTAGTTCTTGATATCATGTGTTAAACTCATAAAGATAAGTGATAAATAAAATAGCAACACAAGTGTTTTAACTTGAAGTTTTGTGTGGTATGTATGGTCTTAAATATACTTATTTATACGTGACTGTGTAGAAGCTTGCCTAGTTATGCAATTAAGTTCAAAAATTGAAGGTCATAGTTGAAGGTCAAAACAGAATTTTCTTATATATATTTATGAATGTGTTCGTGCAAGTCTTTGGCTAGACTATACTTGTAAACATATTTTATTTATAATTAAGTAAAACTGCAAATGGAATTACTTAAATTTTTTAAAAGAGATTATTTTATAATTTTGTTGACATACATTTTTGCAACTGGACATCCGCTGTACAGAAATAGAATGTTAGAAAATTAATTCATTACTAGCTTATTGTTCTTGTTAATAATTTCAAAATTTTGGAAGGCTAATAATTTTGTATATTCAATGGGTCATTAATATCATAATACTTCATGCATAAAATTTTTTTCCTGACTTATTTTTGAAACAGAAACCTGTGGTTCTGACTGACACCAACTTAGTGGGTTCAGCTTTGAAATGGAATTGTCATTACCTGCAGGAGACCCTGGGCAATAATCTTTGTACTGTTTATTTGTCCAAAACACACAAGTTCAAATATTTTGATGTCAATCAGACCAAGAAATGTGATAATGACTTTTCACCTCCAACTGAAAAGGTATTGATGAAGTTTCAAGAATTTGCAAAACACCTAAAAAGTTGGGAAGAAGGAGATAGAAGGTAAATATTCTTTTATAATATAATATTGCATACAAGTTGTTGATAGTTAAATATGATTAATAGCTTTATTCATTAAAAAAATGAAGACATAAATACCTTCCTAGTGTCTAAGTATGTATTTGAGAAAGTTCATAACATAAGCTGCAGGAGAGAGTGACTCAAGAATCTAGTAATTGTATCTGTGTTTTCTATTTATAAATGTTATGTGATATTTATGCAGTGATCAACTTAGCTTGTTTCTGTTTTCCACTATTAAGTTTACTATTTTAAAATATATATTACATTTTGAATTGTTACATAATAAAATGTATCTGTATGTTAGAAATGAAAAATGAGAAGATGGTATTTCTATGTGTTTTTTTGTCTTCAAAAAGATGAATGCCTACATAATTATGTTATTCCATTCACTCATCTCCATTCACACTCATACACAGCTAGTTTCTGTTTATCCATACAATTTTGATTTTTTCCTAGCATTTTAAGAGCCTTGAATTGTATTTCAGTTGGTGTTGCCTTAAAACTGTTCAGGAAAGAGGTGTGGATGTTTCTTTTTCAGATTATACATGCAACAGCTTCTCAATGAAAAAATCTTGAATAGCTCACAATTAGTCAATGATATCCTCACATTTAACTGGAGTTGGATAAGAAGACAGCAAAAACAGAACAACTGGGGACCACTCACAGCTAATCTTCTTATGATATCAACTCAAGGTAAGGTCCCCAGTTTCGGCAGGAAAACAAAATCAGAACTGCTTCACTTCACAAGACAATATGATCAAATGTACAGGAGATATGAGTGTTTTTTTGTTTTTTTATGTTCAAAATTCTATGAGTCAATAATACATTCTTTCAGATATAGAAAAATACAGAAGCTGGTATCAATCCAGACAGTTTTGTTTTTATAAATAGAATGTGCAAGAAATATTTCAGTTTTTATAAGACAAAAATTTGTAACTATCATTCACATCATAAATGAAATTGATGTGCATAAATTCTTGTGATCTTGTTTCTGATTTAACACTTTAAATTTCTCACTGTAGCGATTTTGAACGCGATAACGATAAAGAAGGAAATGTGACTTCAGCTAAAGATGAGGCTGCATTGTTTATATAGTATCATTGTTGGCTTTATTTTATTTATTATATGTTCGGAATTGTTTTCTGGGATATTCTTCATTATATTTACTTTCTATTGAATGAATTATTGCTTATCAGTAGTAAGCAATAATAACTTTAACATTTAAAACACAAAACACTCTTTCTTTAATTGTGGCTTTTGTAATGGAACCTTAATATTTTATAGTTTCCTTCTGTTATGTATGTCATTTAACAGCACTTATACTTTTTATACTTTCTCTTTTAGGTCTTGTCAAACAATCCTTTCGAACATCAAATAACACTTGTTACTGTATGCAATTAGTAGACATTTCAGTTTGTCCCTCTGAAAATTTTATTTAATAATATGTAAGCACAATGCTAGAAACCAGGTTTCAATACCTGTGGTGGGCAGAGCACAGATAGCCCATCATGTAGCTTTGTGCTTAATTATAAAACAAACAAACATGTAAACACAAATTCATAATGTTATTGACACAATGACTTCATTAAATATAACAACTGTAGTTAACAATATATAGTTAACTTAGGCACGTAACAATATATAGTTGTAGTTAACAATAGTATATAACAATAGAAAGTTAATCAGTACACTAGGATAATTTTATATAGTATAATTAATATATTCTGGCTGCTTTTACCCAGAGACCTTATATATTGGAATATTCTAATTTTTAACAAAATAAATTAAAATATACCCATTTAAGTATGATGGCAAGACACAAACAGTGTTAGAGTGTTTTCTTCACATATCTTGTTTATCATCTACTCCTGTACAAAGGGAGTCAAAGCTACATTCAGTTCTTTGCATGTCTTGTTTTCTGTCCCCTACTCCTTCATAAACACAAAAAGAAATAGTCACACATAAAGTTTTACATATCTTGTTCTTCAACATTTACTCATGTTTAAATGAATTAAAACCACACACAATTTTTCATGTGTCTTGGCTGCTGCTGCATAAAGAGAAAAAGTCACTGAATAAAACTTCTATTTTAGAAAATATGTACTGTACAATTTTTATTATTGACACACTAGACAGAAAGCTATGAGTTGAAATTCATAAAACCAGAAAGTTCAACAGATCAACCATCTACACTGATTTTTTTTAAACTGTTTGTCTTGATTAAAAAGCATGTGATTTGTTGGCATGGCAACACTCAAGGCATAATATATGTGTTTGGATAAACAGTGACATTTATTTTTTTTCTCTTTCAATGTTTTTGCTGTTTGATCAGTCAAGTTGATGATTTTCCGAAAAGAGTATGTTTTCCATGGTATTTGTTGATGTTTATGACTGTGTGTGTGTGTGTGTGTGTGTATGTGTATGTGTATATATATAAATATATATTTGTTTTTTCATTTCTCTGTTACAGGTAATGTCACCCCTGCACATTTCGACAATCAACAAAACGTTTTTGCCCAAATATATGGGTATAAAAGATTCATATTGTTTCCTCCAGAAGATTATGACAAGCTTTATCCTCACCCCGTATGGCATCCACATGACAGACAAAGCCAGGTAGCTTTATGTTGTTTTACTAAAAAGTTCCAAACAATTTGTTCTCTAAACAGGTTCTGTCATGGTTGCATAAGAAATAACCTACTAGAAATTTCAAAGATGATGTAACATGTATGGTTTAGATAGTGTAAGGTAGCAAGAGTCAATAAACACTTGCAGCACGTGTGCATGTGTATACATGAACATTGTCATTGATTACAAACAATATAAAGAGAAAGAACCAATCTACATGTAAATTAAAAGTAAACCAATTAAGTATAAACATTACACATAAAAAGCAAAATGTGCATTAAGATAAACCTTCACAATTATACAGTTTATAGTATGTCAGAAATATGGAATTTTTGAGAAAACTTATTTTTACAAGAAACATCCACCCAATCCAAATCCCACAAAACACACACACACAAAGTAAAATATAACTTTAGAATGTTGATTTTATTGAACACTATCAAAATAATGCCACTGTTAGCTCAATTTTGTCAGGAATTGTGTATACCATATTTTGCATCTAAGCTCTTCATACATAATATATGTGTGTGTGTGTGTGTGTGTGTGTGTATATATGTATTTTATAATTTTTAACATTTATTCATTAAGATTTTACAGCACAGCATGTAGAATACCCTACACATAAACTGACAAAGAAATCATGGTTTATATTAATGTTGCCATGAACTAGTAAGTTATGTTTATATATATATATATATATACACATATTCTTCTTAGATTGGTGGTCAAACCTTAATGGGATTCTACTATAAAATAGAACAAAGTAGTAATGCCTTTGCATTGACTTGAATATATTTATTACTGTTATGTGACTGAGAGATTGTGAATTAAAGGGATGTGTATATAGTTTTGGTGTGTGTGTGTGCTAAACTTCAGCAATTCAGAATTTTAATGAACTTGTATGAATCCCTAGAAATCTACAATGAATATTTTTCTAGCAATAGAATAGATGATGTGAAATAATGAAACAAAAACTATTTGTCTAATGGGTAAAGTATCATATAAAACTTGGTGTCACTTAGACAAATCTTGTTGTCTTGGTGCATCATGCGGTATGAATTCCACATCTCTGTATATAACAAAATGATTCACAGAAATAATAATCTAGTAGAACACACGTTTTATAACTGGTTATTCCTCTTTTTGTTTAGTGGTCATTGACATTAAGGCTCTTAAGTGTATTATAGAGGTAAAACCTCTTTAAAAATTTCTCTTTTCAAAAGTTGGGGAACTACCTTGAGTAACTTGTTTTTTGGTTTGAATAATAGTAAAAGAAGAGTCATTACATAATCCAGGAGTGTGTACTTTTCAAGGTGGAATAATGGGAGTATGTGAATAGAAATGCACTGACAGTATGATATCTCTTCTGTCAAAATATTCAAGTTTTAGTTTTGTATCATTACAAAGTGCAAATTGAATGAAACTGTAGGAACTTGATATATTTCAAGTAAATAATCTATGCAATTCTCAGAAACACTATTCAGGATATAATTGCTTTTCATAGTTAAAGCCTAGCTAGCATTGAAACTTTTATTCCATGCTTTGCTATATAAAAATATTCAGTTGGTTTTAAAACAGTTATTTTAAATTTTAATTGCAAAACTCGGTATGTTAAACAGAGTAAAACGAGTTAAAACTAGTATAACTAAACATGGTAAATGAAAGATTTGAAACATTTTAACTTCTTAAACTCTTCCTGGCCCTTTCAAAAGTTGCCTTTGGCCCTCTTCAAAAACTAAATGCTGTTTTTTTACTCTTCATTGATGGCAACTGTTCTTAGATTCATTTGGTTCATGATGACATTGTTGCACTGTGATCAAAATATTAAAATCTCAGTAAGGGTGTTTCATTTTAGTTTAAGAATTTAAATTTTGGATGTATTGAACACATATTGAGCATTACTTACAACATGGGTTTTATTAAAAGCATCGCCTATGCTATTGTATTTCTTAATTTATTTTTAGATAAGTTCCACAAGGATAGTACTTTGATAATTATAACAATATAACATATTAATATAGTTTTCTTAAGCATACTGAAATACACTGTCTGTAAAAAATTTGTTCTTTATAAATACATTTCTAACATAGATTCACATTCATTTACAGTTTATTTGTGTTAGCATAAGGCAAGTGTAATTTTATGGAACCTTATTTGAAAATATTAATTGAGTTGCATTATGATCATCTTTAAAACAGCAGGATTTCTTGCCTTTCACGAAACTAGTTCAGCCCTTCCTCCACAAATGAAAATATTCTGGCTACCAGCTTGTTATATCTGTGAATGATTATGATAAGTTACTAATGTCATTTTATGGCATATTGTAAAGGTTTTTATATTAAATGTTTTTCTTATAGGTAAAATAATATTGAATTATTGGCTGCAGCTGAACAGCTCATAGAATGGCTCTGAGTTTTTTTTCAAGTACAGACTTTTAGCTCAAAGCTGTGTCATCTCTTGAACGATTTGATGAAACAATAAAAATGATGTTTCTAAGAGGCAGTAAGTTTTATCTCTGCACTGCTAACTCTTTCACCAAAGCTGTTGGCGTGGGTTTAACCCTTTCAAACAATTTATAAACTTTTTTTATAGATGCGGCACAGCGACTCATAGAATGGCTCTAAGTTTTTGTTTTTCAAGTACAAACGTTTAACTCGTAGCTTCATCTCTTGACCGATGTGAGGTCTAATTACAGCCGTGGCTATTGGGGACTCCTCTCGTTTTTCAAGTACAAACTTTTAGCTCATAGTCCGTCATCTTTTGGCCGATTTGAGATATAATTACAGTTTTGAACTCAGGAGGTCAAACCCTATCGATTAATGTATTTGACCACACCCAAGGTCCCATAGATTAATTTAATCTAATCCTGCCTAAAATAATTTTAATTTGAGGGTAGGCTGGTAGAGATCCTGATGAGTAATAAAATCAAATCTGGTAATTGCACTCCTGGGAAACAAAGATCTTATAGATTAATTTAATCCTGCCTAAAAGAATTTCAAGTGCCTTGGCTGTTGATGATTCCCTCTCATTATACTAGAAATGACTTGTATAAGTTTGTAAGTGTGATCTTTATTGTTAAGCTGTGTTTTCTCATTAGGTTGACTTTGAAAATCCAGACTATACAAAGTTTCCAAAATTTCGTGAAATCAAGGGGCATGAAGCAGTGCTGGGCCCTGGTGATGTTTTGTACCTACCACTGTACTGGTGGCACCATGTAGAATCTCTCTGCCAAACTCAGTATACTACTTCATTGACTTTTTGGTACAAGGTATGTAATTCAGTGATAGTGTAGTTATTTGTATGAATTATAAGAATCCAAAACAGATAATAGTTCAGTTCTTAACATACTAAAATGAAACTGATATCATAATATGTATTCATGATGTTAGAAAAACGTGTAGTTTCAAGAAGTCTTGATAGAAATGAATAACAACCCTATAACCCGAGCGCTTTCGAAACGTTATAGTGTTTTTATTCATTTCTATCATAATATGTATGTCATACTTAAATGACTGATCAATATTTTTCTTCTTCTTCACTGTAAATACAAGTTAGTTTTTCTTTTCAAATTGCCGACAACTTGACAAGGTATAAGATGTAGGATACAAAAAGACCTGGTATGTCACGGTAATTGATTTTCTCGTAAAGTACAGAAACTAAGGCGACAAAGATATTTTCACGGACGCCCTTAACCTGCTTAAACTACAGTTACTTATACATCAGTGCATGTTCCTTGTTAGTAGCCCCCGGTATGTCTACGGACTTACAACGCTAGAAACCGGGTTTCGATACCCGTGGTGGGCAGAGCACAGATAGCCCTTTGTGCATAAATTCAAAACAAACAAACAAACATCCTTGTTAGTATTCCACAGATGAAGTCAATTAAATCCATATAGTTGGCCAAAATAGAACGAGACAATGCATAGATCTACACACACACACACACAAATATTTATTCACAATAACAATTAAAAATACACTATAATACAACACACAATAATACACTACAACGACTAAGTGACCGTGTGTTTTAAGAAGAAAAAAAAACGTAGGTCTAACAAGAACTAATGACGACTTTAATATAAGAACAGCCTGTTAGTTAAACTATGTACAAATGAAAGCACTTAATAAAAAATAGCCTCAAGTTAAGTTAAAATACAATTACTATAAACCAAATGCTCAAAAAGTGTAAAATCTATGTCCTTACTTGGATTGCACTATAGTTTTAAAACTCGTTCGCTTACGGAGAACGTAAACAAGCACTTAAGTACTGGCAAGAGCCTTATGGCGTTCACTCTAACGTTCTAAACAAAGAAAAGGTAAACGGAAGGTGAAAGCCAAACGCAGCACGAGAAAAAATGTGGAAGTTCTCCTCGAGAAAAAGAAAGGAACTACAAAAAATACAGTTCTGATGTGAGAAAAGAAAATATTAACAGAAGCCTATGTGGTTTCTGCTGCACAAATTAAAAGCGCAAAAACACACATTTAATGTTTATTAAATCTGCTCTTCCAAGCCCTAACACTGCCTTAAATATACCAATAAACTTAAAATCATAAATAATATTCAACGTTAAACTGGTACACAATTAAAAACATTTTATTTAGTTCTATCTATGGCCTTCAAAAAGTTGACGACTCTACATGTTTCGAAGTTACAACGTCATCCATTGTAACGTCGAAACATATAGAGTCGTCAACTTTTTGAAGGCCATAGATAGGCCTATATAAAATGTTTTTAATTATGTACCAGTTTAACGTTGAATATTATTTATGATTTTAACTTTATACACAAGTGCTAAAATACTATAAATACCAATAAACACTCAAGTTCCCGATACAAGAAAGCAGTGGCTATTTTTTGTTTAATTAATAAGATGGCCAATGGGCAGTGAAGATCAAGGGCAATTCTATTGATGGCTATTATTTGATTCGCCAACAAGAATAGCTCAGCTCACTAATTAAAAACGACGTTGTTATTTCGAGAGAACTACATAAAAAAGGCTTTAATCCCTACTTACCCTAGTTTGTCACTTAAAGTTAGTAACTCACTTGTGTTTCTATACTACATTACCATATTTCATGTTCCCATCAGACATAGCAAAGTCACAATACTCTTTCAATTAATCTATATCGAGATTACTTACTGTGCTAATCTGTAAAGCTCTGTCTATTTAGTGGTTACATTTTTGGTATAAGGCTAAGTATGGCCTAGTGATTAGCGTACAGGTTTTTGGATCAGAAGGTCTAAGATTCGAGTCGCGAAGCGCCGCTGAACATGCTCTGAATTTTGTTGGGATTGCCTTATGCTTGTGGTAGTCAATCACGTTATACTGATGACTCTCTCCAGTCAGAAGTTCTTAATTAGGGTTAGCTTTGCTCGAACCTTATTGCTCTCTGACCTAGTCTTTAGCCCATGTGTCACATAAGGTGCTGTTCAGGTTGAACATATTAATAACAAATGCCAATTTATGGTCCGGGTTGAGCATATGCCTCGTTTTCATCTTGATACAGATATGTAAATAGTTATGCTCGTGCCAACCCTAACGCGAGCCCACCGTCACAATTGAAAGGACAGTTGGCTGTGAATTTAGTTATATATATCAGTTAACTTATACATTGTTAGTTATTTTAGTATTGGTGAATTGTCACATCTTCCTTACATGTAGAAAACAATTAAGGTTCAATATGTCATGAAAAGTAACAAGAAATGTCAATAATTTCAATATTCTGAACCTTGAGTTGTAGCTAACCGAACCATAATATATATATATAAATAGTTCCTGTAAGCAATTTAGTAGATCGTTTTCATACTGAACAACATAAAGCTCATAGATAGGATATCTATGGTAAGGCGTCCTGTGTAAAGGTTAATGGGGCCCATACAAAAAACAGAACTGCGCGATGTAGTCGTGGATGTGCATTGATTTGCAAATAAAATCTTCAGTGAAGAATAAATACCCTAACATTTATTGATAAAACCTTTTATAAGTAGTCTTTCAAATACGTGCGCTGAAACTCATCTCATCCCATATCTTACTCTAGCTACTATATATCTACAGAACAAAAACAACACGATTTGGTTGTAATGCTAGAGAACAAATATATGATATAAAGTATGTAAAGATCAAAAGAGTAGCTAATCCACCAATAGATTTGTTTGTTAATTGTTATACAACGTGCTATTTTCCTTTAAGACAGGTATCGAAACCCGATATTTAGCGATATAAGCTTACATATTTACAGCTGAACCACTGGGTTGCTTACCAGTAGGTGTTGTCGTTGTTGTTTGTTATTAAGCACAAAACTACACAAAGGGCTATCTATGCTCTACCCACCACGCGTATCGAAACCTGGTTTCTAACAGTATAAATCTACTGAAATACCCCTCCAGAAGAAAACTTGTTTACATACTCAGTTTGAGGTAATAAAGAAAAGCCTGAAAATTCTAAATGCAAGTTGTCAGAAGTTTTTAAGCTCATGCATATTAACATTTTTAAAAGCTTGTCTCTCGTTTTATTATACGCCAAGGGTTTGTATATTTTTCGAACTTTTTTGTTTGATACATTTATCTATGATAAATATTTCTTATACCTTATTTGAAATGATTTAATTGTTGTATGAGATAGAGGGCAACTTCAGTAAGATTACTGCAAAGAGTGTTTTATTTATTATAATATGTCATAAAAGTTACTGTTGTAATATTTATTTTCTATGTTTTATATTAGATGTTTCCTAGAGGACGCATGATTTATGATCTGGAAAATTCATGGAGCAGAAGCCGAATACGATATAAATACGAGTATACAGTGAGTCAGTGAGATGTCAAAATAGTGAGTAATCAGCTGCAGTAAGTGACTGAGTTCAGGTTTATAGTTAGAGTTATCGAGTCTATGCAGTTACTCAATCGTGCAGCCAAAGAATTCTACAGGTAACTTTAAAAGTAACTTAGACCTACGTACCATTAGTCTCGGAATTTCTGTTGAAACGTTGTTTGTGAACTTAAGCCTACAACTTATGTCAAAGTGAACATAACCTGTATCGAACGTTATTGAAGAAATAAATTAATTCGTTATCGTTACGTGGACTGCACTTGCCATTATTTTTACCAAGCAATCGAAAGAAGCCACCCAAGATAAAACATGTTACAACAATACTATACAAAATAATATAAAGAGCAAGTATCTGCACAGTAACAGTTGTAATTCAAATCAAATTATTATCTCCCTTTTCGTAGTTATCTTACTTGAAATATAATTTTAAACTAAGCCAATCAATAAGAATAATTTCAGTTTATTAGGGATATATAAAAACTTTAACATGATTGTCAACAAAGAGAAAATTACCTACATTTGTGAACTATTCAGCTAGTGCAAAAATAGCGACGTTTATGCTTTTGTTTTTTAATTCACATACCTAGAAGTATGAAATCAAACCCTTTATATATCATAGAAATAGTTAATTATATATACATGTGTGCTTGAACTAAATCCGTTTAATTACTTTATAGGTTTAGCTGTATTGAAGTTTTTCCTGGACTAGTTTACTTTAATCTCAAAAGTGGGTTTGTATGGTTTCGAAAACAAATTTATTGTAGTAAAAAATGCAAATGTGTTAAACATATACTATATTTTAAATTCAGGTCACTTGCATTTTAATTTTTATTCACTATTCAATTTAATCTTAAGGAGAAACAGTTTTTCCTTATTTGTATGCATTCATTTCAGTACTATTTTATGTTGGAATCGAAATATCTAAAACAGTAACATCGGCTTAAATAGAAGACTTCCCAACCACTATGATGCTGACTTAACATAGAAAGAGCAGTAAAAAAAAAGCAGAAAGTTAGCAGTGATGTCTAGACGGATTAGTGAGTATTTTGCATAAACGAGTGGCTGTGTGTAACAGATTAAAACTAGCTATACATTCTAGTTACAAACGTCCAAGCTCAGTATGGTTATCTGAAATGTTTCAGCATGCGATTGCATTGTGACAACGTGTAGCGTATTTGTTTTTTTTCTTCTGGTAAACAAAAGTTCGTGTTTTACGCGGTAAAGCAGCTGAGAGATATCATTCATTCTGCTATATTAATAACTGGCTAGCCCCTAGGAATCTCTACAGATATAAACATCTAAAAAAATCAAAGCACTGAAAATCTGATTTGAAAAGTTGTACATTTTTTCTTAGATCACGATAGCAATAGCGCAGTTTGACAAAGTATTGATTTTGGTGCTTTGCACGTGCCTTGCACCTTAACTCTATCGTTTTCAT